CTTGTGGTTTGGAACAATGGTTTGGAGAAAATGTGCACTGAGAATAGCGCTAAATGGGAGACACTGTGGGTAGTAGAAGGGACTGGTATCATCTTCTTTCTGGCTGTCCCAAGTCCTAGCTGAGTCCAAGGACTCAGGCAAGCAATTTAGCCTCTCTCAGCTTAATTTCTTAATATAAAGATAGAGATAACACCAATGTTCCTATTTTTATCACAGGGCTTGGTTAAAAATTGCATTCGATAATGAACAGAAAGCTGGAGATGGAACTCTGCTTAGAGAAACAATTACTAGTATGATTGAAACAATTACTAGTATGATTGAAATAATTTATAGCAGGTCAAAGTAGTTGGATAGCTTCTAGCACAGAACACATGGCTGTTGAGTGATTCCTGACAGGTCACCAAGGGGAAGTACATGTCAAGCTGAAAAGCCAAATATATCTCTGGTTTGACTTCTAGAGCTAAGGATGTAGTGGATCCTAGCAGGTTTATAATTTTTTTCTTGAGTTCTTTAGTGGAAGGAGGTGGTACTTCCTATAAGAGAGTGTGTGGAGTTTTAGATATCTCTGTGCAAAATTAAATATACTTATATTTAATATCCATTATCTCAGACTTCTCTTCCTTGATGCTGCATTTTAGCAGTGCTTATGTACTGCTGTGCTGTTTTAGTGAATTTACATATCATCATATTTCCTTGTAAATATTCATTAGTCTTATCAATGCTATTCTGTCTACTTTTTTACTTTAATGTCAAATAAAAAACAAATCTGGATTTAGGGAGTAGGGACTTTTATTCAAAGGGATTATTGCAAACTGGAGGGAGAGGTTTTAGTAGGGAGAATGCTTTGATCATAGTACTTGTCAGTGTCTCAAGGGTTAGGCAAAAAGAGTTTTTCAGTTATAGAGATGAGTAAACAAAGCTAGAAACCATGTGTGGGGAAGCAAGATGAAAAGTGACATGAGTGGATAGATCAGAGAATATTTTACCTTGATGTCAGTCTGTTCTCGGGAGGGATTGTCTGCTGGCTCAGGCTGAGGGTGAGCTAAAGTTTAGGGGAGAGAAGCTTAACCAGTTCAGTTAACAAGTATTTTGTTCTAATTGATCAGTGGGGATAAGCAGTTCAGCTAATTATTTATGAGGCAATAAGGAAACTTAGAGGGTCTGTGTCTGGCTGTCATAGGTAAGGGGGGGCTTCTGTGAGTCTTATCTAAGCCATGGGAAGTGGTACTTCTCTGCAATAAGCTCTTCTGGAACACAAAGTGTGGAGGGATTTCTTAAGCTTCCCTGTTTTTCTAGATCATAGGGCTGAAGTAAAATTCATTGTTATGAAAGATCACTTGTTTCAATTAGGCTTGTATTTAGCTGCAAGTAACAGAAAGCTGGACTAATAATAACTTAAAGAGGAGTTTATTTTTCTCACCTAACAAGTAGTTCAGAGATCAACAGTTGCTGGCATTAGTTTAGCTGATTAATGATGCCAGTGTAACTCTTTGAGTCTTTTTACTCTGCCTTCTCATGTTTGTCACCTCATCATCACAAAATAGCTGCTGCAGCAATAAACATCCATATTCAAAACAGAAAGGTGATGTCATATGGCTAACTCTACCTGCATAGGAGACTAGGAAATTAATTAGCTGTATACATTGCCATAGTGGCTCTCTTAGCAAGGAAGAAGGGAGTATATGCTATACCAAATCCTCTATTTCTTCTGGTAATTGTATTCTCAAGATGTTGACAGATTCTTTACCACAGAATAATTCTTTTATTATCTGAAGTGTGGGAAATTAAATGTCCTATGATGCATTAGAAAAGCATACAGTGTGTTTTATGAAGTGATAATGAAATGGAGCCATTCTTGGAAGTGGCTTTCTGGAGTAGCTTTTGGAAAAGCCAAGAACCCCCTGAGTAAACTTATTTGGAGTCATTTATTAAAATGGTGTTGTGTTAAGTGTAGAAACATCTGTAACAAGTCCTACAGAGAGTTTATATCTCTAATTTTTAGGAGATCTTACACATCAATAATAAAAACTTTTCCCAAATCGAGCTAAAATTTATGCTTTTTTCTTTCAAAGTGTTTGTATAAACAGTGGTACCTAATCCTGGTGAGATGCTCCTTCGCTACTGGTGAGAGTATAAGCTGATAAAAACTTTCTTAAAAGTTTATAAAACCTTACAATGTTAACACCCTTTACCCTAAAATTTATCTCTAAGGAAGCTTTCCTAATGAAAAAATTAGAATTGTGAACCAAGTTGATTCATATAAAATAATAGATTATTCTAACAATACTTACATTTATAAAAATATTTGAAAACATGTAAGTTATGAGAGTAATTAAAAGGTGTGATCTCTCCATCGCTTTAATGTAATATTGTTAAAAAATAAGAATACAAGCTGCTTATACTATATTATTCCCATTTTGTAACATATAGAAGTATTTATTTACTTAACAGAAATATGTCAAATATTCCCAATAGGTATTTGTGGATTATGGGATTACATGCCATGTTTGTTTTCTTTATTCTTTTAGGCATTTTCCAATTTTTCTATATTGGAAATGAATTATTTTTATATCTATAAAAAATATTTTTTAAAAGACAAAATAAAAAATGTGAGTATGTTTGCTGAGATCTTTTTTTAAGAGAAATAATGAGTGAGAAGTACTTTGATCCAAGAATTTGGGCAGCTGTTGAGCACTTGAAAAGAACATTTTATTGATAGACTAGGAAAGGTGTTACCAAGTGTTTTGTGCCTCTGGAGTTCTGGCATTTCTCAGTCCTGCCATGAAGGGAATGTTTAAAGGAAGTTGTCACAATAGTTCATTCTTCTGTGCTCACGTAAATCACATTGGTCTATTTTTTTCTTCCTAGAGGGCTTTCTGTTTTTCTTTTCTGTGATATGTATAGGACTGAGGTCACTAAGGGCTGTAACTACATTCAGGAGGGGAAGGGAAACAGTTTAAGGAAACAGTTTGTCTTAATTTATCCAGATAACCAAAGCTAACTCATGTAAGGTTGGGGAGATCTTTATCTCAACACATAATTACCCTGTTTGCTTAATATGTATATAGAAAATAACCACCCAATATTCCTGGACAAGAAGCTAATTGTTTCTCTTCTAAAGTTGATTAAAACATGTGGGTGTAAATGTGTGCGTATGTATAAACCCTCAATGTCTTCCCATACACGTGAAAAGAGGGTCAAAGGGAGACATTTTTCCCTAAGTCTGCCCTTCCAGTGGGGCGTCCATTGCACAACACGTAAGGGGTTCAGATCTACGTCTGTCATTTGCTTGTTGGAAATCGTTGATATAAAGTCAGATACTTTTCGTGTTGGAAGATCTTAATGAATTTGATTTCAATTTTACCTTCCATTTCTTGCCAGGTACTTTCACATATATCTGAGATTCCTAAACTAGGATGTGTTTATCCTTGGGTTATGCTTCTTGAGCTAAGAGGCCTTTGAAGCCTCTGGATCTCTAGAAAGTTCAGCATGTTTACCCACTGACATCACATAAGTACCTGGCACGGTGTTTAAGAAGATGTTTTATTCATATTTGATTAGCAAGTACCTGGCATGGTGTTTAAGAAGATGGTTTTATTCATATTCAATTAGATATGAATCTATCTAAAAGCTTTATTTATATGTGTTCATTTTGTCTGTTTGCTTTTGCATTGAAATTAACCTAAAAGCCATTGGTTCACTCTTAACAATCTAACCTTTGGTCAAGGTGAGGGTCAGAAATTGTTAGTTACCTCTGTACAGAGAGTGAAATATGTAGTGTGGCCAACTCCAGCCTTGAACCCTCACAGACAGGGCTGTGACCTAACATGAAAATAAGAGAACTTTGTTGTTGTGCTGTGGAATCTAGAAATGGTCTTTTTCTGAATAAAAGGGACTTATGTTTTGAAGCTGGTGTTTTTCCTTTTCAGTCCTTTATCTATAAGTTCTTTATATAAGAAAAAAGAACAGCTGTTGAAAAACTCTTAGAATTAATAAAACAGTATGTTGGGTTTCATTATACCCCATGGATGTCTAAATGTCCCCTGAATGCTAGCCGTCTGTGACACCCTGATGTGGATGTTTACATAGCATCTCAAACTCAAGTAAAACGCTGGATTACCCGCTCCCATTTACCTGGTTGTTCAAACAAAGGTTCTTAGATTTATCCTCAATTCCTTGCTTTCTCTTTCCCCACAGCCAATCTGTCAGCAATTTCTGTCGACATTACTTCCAAATTATATCCCTAAATCACTGATTTCCCTCTCTCATAGTTGTTACCTCCCTGTTCGAATCACTGTCATCTCTTATCTGGATTATTCACTGGTCTGCTAACCCCTCTCCTTGTTCCTGTGGTCTGTTTTCTAGGAAGCAGCAAGAATCATCTTTTCAAAGCCTTCCCCTGTTTAAAGTCGTTCACTGGTTCCCCATAGCAGTTAGAACAGAATCTTTACCCCTACCCTGGTTTACAAAGCCTTTTGGGGTCTGGCCCCCACTACCTCCCTGACTTTAGCCCTTACCACTGTCCCCCATCCACAGTTGCCCAGACCCCCTGACTTTCTGTTCTTTGAGCATGCCAGTCCATCACCTGAGGGCCTTTCCCTACCAGGAATGGGCTTTCCTCATCTTTCCATGGCTGGCTCCTTCTAATATTTAGAACAAGATGTTCTAATAAATGTTGTCCCTTATACAGGCCTTTCCAGACCACCTGATTATGTAGGACACCTGCCTCCCCCAACTGGGCACCGTTTATCATGTAATGCTTCTCATATTCTGTTTAAATTATTTGGATGGTGTTTATTGCTATCACTACCACCAGTGCCTACAGCCAAACATAGACACATGAGAGCAAGGTCCTCATCGGCTTCACCACTGCTTTATGGGACCGCAGGGGAGGTGCACAGTTGGTGTTGCATCTACAGCTGTTTTTCACAGGCTGTGTAGGACAGCTCTCTTTCAACTTGGGAACCAATCGGTTGTTTCTGCCTGTTCTGTTCTTACAGCGGACTGGACTTTATGAATATAAAGTCTTTGGTGTTCTGAAGAAGTACCCACCGAGTCTTCTTGCAGATGTCTATATGGATTTAGCCTACAGAAAACAGTGGGACCAATATGTTAAAGGTGAGTGACATCTCCTATTAAAAAAAATCAATTAGAAAGTATGATCTCTTGTTATTTATTCAAACCAATAGAACAACAGGTTTAATTCTACTGTGTTATGTTTCATTATTAATTTTGATATAAAAGTCTTAACTGTTAGGCTGAAATGTGCCTTTGCTATTCCTAGGGCTTGTTCTTTGCATAATCTTAGATCCACTCTCCAGTTTACTCTGAGGGCTACTTTGTTCTCACTGTGAGTTCATTGTCATGCCACATAACTAGGTGGTCATGAAAGCCTTGGAGTAGGTGTCCAAGCTTTGTTTTAGAAGTTGAACCAAAGTTCTATAAGCAAGAATACATATACGTGAGGAGGTGAGAGAGTGATGGACTATGTGATTTGAGGGCAATCGAGGCCCAGGGAACAGCATGAATAAAGTGAGGAAAGCATGACACAGAAGTATGTTAAAAAATTGTGAGTGATTTGGTGGTGTTGGGTGGTTGGGGTAGCAGAACCTGGAGTAAGGATGGGAGGAAGGTTCAGGTCCCCAAGGGCTAGCCTAGCCACCAGGCTACAGCTGTTAGATTTTACCCTATAAGTGACAGGGAATCATGAAAAGAATTCAGCAGGGGATCCTCCTGCAACTCAGAGCTGGGAGTGGTTTCTGCCAATCAACCACACTGGAACAGAACTGTGGAGTTAGACAAGGGGTATATAAACTCTGAAGGACACTTTCCATAGTCAAGACTCCTGGTTACAAGTAATAAAAAGGTATCAGATGCTAGTGTAAGAGAAGGAAAAAGAGTTTATTGATTCATGGCAGTGAAAGTTCCATGAGGTTCTGGCTTCCAGGACAGCTGCATCCAATACTTAAATAATTTCTTCATCTCAACTGTTTTCTTCTCATTTGACCCAGTTCTTAGGCAGGTTCTTATGTCATTGTGAAGACGACTGTCAGAAGATCCAGGCTTATATTCTGACTCTATGTATAGCCCCAGAGGAACAGGAATGAGAATTCCCCTTTCCTACTGATGGCCTCCAGAGTCCCAGGACTGGCTCTTATCACCTTGGTGTGGATTACATGCTTACTTCTGTGGACGTTTGTCACGGTTTCGGGTTACTTAAATGGTTTCACATACCCTTCCTGTCTAGCAGGAATTGTGATGTTCACTTATTCGAGGGGAAGCCAGATGCTCCCAGTCTCCCTAGCAGCCGTGGTTCAGTCATGTGATACAGATGTTGCCAATAAAACATCCATGTGGCTTCAGTTTGGGGGACAGCAACTTGAGAACGCTGGCAGCATGCAAAACCCATTTTCTGGTGACAGTCATGGCTAAGACAGCTGGCTTTGTGGGGAACAGTCGCAGAGCCTCTGACATTTGGTCCTGGCATCAGCAGTTCATGCTAGTGTCCAGTCCAGTGGCAGCAGCAGTTTGGCTTTTTGGAAACAATCCTAAGGCTAATCCTAACTCTGATCCTCCTAGATGCCTGTGATCTACCTGAGAGCCTTACTGAAACGCCTTTTGGCTAGCCTAAACTTGCTAGAGTGCCGAGCTAAGCCCATGGCCAGTTGCACCATCCCTGAACTAATCACAGTGGCCATGCCTTGCTCCTTCTCCCAGCCCTGAAATTAATGCCGAGTCCTTCATGCCTAAACCAGAGTCCAGAAAGAGGGGAAGAGTGATGCCCTGAAGGAGAATTGAGATGCTCCCAAGTCAATGCTGAGCAGGCAAAAGCAACAGATGTCCACTCCTTCCCTACTTTCAAGCCTATCTTCAGCCTCCTGTGGCACCAGTGGGCTGGCAAGCTCTTTAATCCAGGATCTGCTTCTAATAGATTTTTCTGTCAAAAGCTGAATTAAATAGTACATTTCCACTATCAGCTTCCCCTCAAGGGACTCCCTTGGTCACTCTAGTAACCTTGGCTGGCTTCTTCTCTAAACAGTTAGTAAGAAGCTTACTGCACAGCTTGGGGTCAGAAGTGTGCATGCCATTGAATTCCTTTGCTGTCTCCCTCCAAGAATTGGCTGCTTTTTGCACACAATGGTATTGATGGAACATTAAGGAAATTTGGTCACTTACAGCTGTGGTATAGTGTAAAGAAACGTGAGAGAGAAACAAGAAACAGGGTTAGTCACAGTTATGCCACTTTCTGGCTGTTTAGGAAATACACTACCCTTTCTGGAGTCTTCGTTCCCCAGCTGAACACATTAGCCTGGGTGGCTCAGTTCCAGGCTAGCTATACTATGTCAGGAAATCTGAACAGGGAAGAAAGATCGCAAAAAAACTATTGGTATTCTAGTGACATCTGGTGGTTACCCTGATTTTAAAACCTGAGAGTTTATTTTTGGATGCCTGATTTCACTGCATTCCGAGAATCTTGTTTGTGCTATACAATAGACGTTTATTGGGCTCTTTTAGTTTTACTGTTGTTTTTGTATCTTCTCAACACTGTTCCTGAGCAACAGGCTTTCAGTGGTTTTGAATCTTTTTCTAGAACTCTGTGCCTTATGAGTTAGTGGTTTATCATATCCTGAAAGGTCATGATACTTGGGCTTCTTGTTAATGGAACCCTAAGAGGCTTCCAGATTCATTAACTTTTGTTCTCCTTAGAACTCTATGAAGAAGAATGCAACGGAAAGACTGTGGTCTACTGGCAAGTGAACTACCCCTTTCCCATGTGGAACAGAGACGTATCCTTTCCCAAGGTGTATCATTTCTTGGCGTTCTAAGGGTTTCTGTGCCCCTTGGCCATTGCCCAATGGTGGTATGTTAAGCAAGTATGAACAACATTGTCTTTGCTTCTTGGAGAAGCATCTGCTAAAGCTGTTACTTCTTGTGTGGCTTTTGGACACCTCAGAGTGTGATTTCTGGACTGACCACGTGGGGTGTCTGTAATTTTGGTTACTGGAGGGCAGCTCATACTTTTCTGAGTTTTCTAGGGCTTGAAATAGTTGGGCTCCAGAATTGGGGACCTGGAAAGAACTTTTTATAAAAAGTATTTAATACACTCCCTCAACCTATAGAGGAGAGAGTGGGGCCCCAAAGAGGTAGAGTAGCAAGAGACATATGGAATAGTATGAGTGGGATTATTGGCAGAGTGGGGACTGGAACTCAGCCCCATGGTTCCCCTTTCCCCTCCTCTTTCACTCACCCGGCAGCAATCCTTCCTTGACTGTTGGCTTTGGACATTGGGTATTTCTTCCATTCAAGTTCCTCAGTTATGATCTGAAGCAGTTAAATGGAATATGGGGTGTTTCAGCTGGCACTCCAAGGTTCTCAGAAGCCACTGGGACTATCCTGGGATAGTGGGATGGAAATGTGCTGGGTGGCAAAATTTTGACTCCTTCTTTGTCCTCTTCAGTCACAGAAGCTGAGTATTTTACACACTGAATTTACATATATGATCCTTAAACGGTCTTGTGGATTAAAAGAAAAGTCTGGAAATGGAAAACTATGAATTGTGTGATCACTGGGATCTTTTCTAGTTCTAACATTCTGTAAGTCTGTTTGTTCCTGAATATTCTCTAGAAGGAGAGGGAGTGTGCAGGGCATGTGGTGTGTGTATTGTTTATGTGTGCTTTTGTGTCTTAAGTGTATGTGTCCATCCTGGCCCCAACTAGATTATAAACTCTATAAGAGTTTAGTTCTTGGCACCATTCCCACATACTGCTAGATAGTTTGTGTATACATGGTATGTATTTCAATAAATTGTAGATTACTTAATCCCTTAGATTTTATGTGGTTTTCTCTAATCCTGACAACAATCATGTAAGGTAGATATATCATCATCCCTATTTCACAATTAAGGAAATGGAGGCAAAGAGAAGTTTAATATGTTGCTCAGGTTCACACAACTAGTGGGTGGCAGAGGCAGGTTCAGGACCCCAGTCCAGCTGTTTCTAGAGATGGTGACCTTGACCAGGCATGGTCCCCCCTCTTTAACATCACAGCGACACTAATGGGTAGGTAGTCTCTGGAGTAGATACTTGGGGCTCCTTCAAGTTCTATTTCACTGGCTTTCCAATGCCATGCATTCCCATAATGAGTTTCTTAGTCTTATATATGCACATATGTCTCTCCAATAAGGCTTGTTACATTTTTTAGAATAGAGAATTGTGCAGTAGAAAAGACCATTAATTTTGGAGTAAAAGATCCCAGGCTGAGTGTGAGCTCACTCCCTAGTTTGCTGTGTGACCTTGGAAAAGGCCCTTCACTTCTCTGGGCTTCAATGAACTGGTGGCTCTCCAGTCACAGGCCACATGGCATCCTGGGCCTTCTAACCCTTCAAACAACTGTACCAAATATAGGCAGTGTATCAAGTTAATTTTGCCTCCACGGAGTGTCAGCTGATGCCGATTCCATGAACTGAGCGGGTTGTAGGAGACAATGGGGCAATATTTGCCATGAGGAAAAATTAAAAGACTTGGGAGAAAGGAAAGCCAGAATCAAATCAGCATCACTTCTTCCCTGAAACAGTTCAGAATGATGCTCGTCAGTGTGGAGAGAGCAGAGGTAACAGACCTTCCCACGCGGTGCCCGAGGGTGGGACAGCTGTGCGTGCTGTGGGGGCTCTCAGGTGGCAGGGACCTGAGTGTGTTGCTGGGACACTCAGTGTGATCGTGTTATTCTTATGTGATGTTATTTTTTTGTTGTTTAGGCTTTGAATTCCTTTTAGTGTGAAACCTAAAGTCCTGATGAGCCCTGTCCAGCTATGAAAGCCTGATTAGGTTTTGGAGCCGGATCTGGGTTCAGGTTCATTCACTTCAGCTGGGCAACTTTCTTTGCCTCTCTGAGCCTCAGTTTTGTTCTCTGTAAGACGGAGATTCTTAAGCTGAATTCACAGGGACTTTGTCAGGATCAAAACTGATGCTATATGTAAGACACAGGATGTATATTACATGGTAAGGGTAAGCGGTGACTCTTACTGCTTCTTAGGATTTAACTGTCTTCCCTAGAACAATGCCACAGACACAGTGGTGTTCTGTGTTTGTTGAGATGAAATAGCTTTGTTATTCTTGAACCAAGGTTAACTCAGAGAGGACAGCTGCCTACTAAATATTCATGTTTCTTCCTAGGATCAGTAGGTGTAGCTGACATTGCTTGATTATCCTCTGTGCATAGAAGTCAGTAACTAGAGCTTTGCGGGAGGGCAGAACAAAGCAGAATGGCCCCATTGTTTATCAGTTGCTTGTTTTGCTTCAGTCTTTCTCTAACACCCACACCAAGCCTGCCTGCTGGGCAGTGCTGCCCCCTTTTCCTACCAAGGGATACTGAGCATCAGAAAGGTTGAGTAACTAACCCTGGATCACATAGTTAAGTGAACGGTCCTCTGCTATCTCTGATATCTTAGTGCCTTCTTGGAGAAAGGAGAAGTGGTTTCCCACATAATTAAAGCATCAAGGTAGGTAATCATTAACAGGCAGGGAATGCATGCTCTCAAATGAGAACACCAGGTATGAGCACAATCTTGCAACACAGGTAGGGGGACCGGGCAGGTAAGTGAAGTTACAGCACAAGGGGGCAAGTGCCAGCAGGAGGAACAGAATCATTTCTCTTTGCTTCTGGTATGTGGGCTTTCCTTCTGCCCTTCTGAACTGCTGGCATCGAGGCCATGCCTTAACCAGTAGTGTAGTATGTGTACATCCGGCAGCGGCGAGAGCTGAATGTGGAAGGGAAGAAGGTCCACGTGATCCTGGCTGAGAACGTCTCTGTGCCGCAGTTTCCTGAGAGGTCTGGCGTGGTCCGGGTGAAACAGTACAAGCAGAAGCTGGTGATCGAGAGCGACGGCAAGGAGGGTAGCAATGGTAAAGCATGAGGGCCACCCTGAGTGTGAGGCACAGAGAATGCACCATGCTTATTCCCTGAAGTCTGAGAATGGCTGTGGGTGCAGAACAAATAAGGGATCAGCACCTGGGGAGAGACTGAATTCACCCCAGAATTGAGGGCTAGAGGGCAAGGTGGATGTTTCGATCTGAGTCAATCCATTCTTTGTTGACTCTTACATTTTCCAGATGAACTCAGAATGAACCCAAGTGAACCAAAGGGCATAGAAATCCACCTCAGTCTGGTCTTGGGAATACATATGGTGGGCCTAGGGGTGGGCAAGGAGGCTGGCAGGACTGGCTCTGAGGATGCAGCTCCTCCTCAGCAAAAACCCAGAGACTCAGGACCTGTCTGCCTTGAATCCCAGCCTGCAGGAGAAAAGTTGCAGGCAGAGCCAGGCATGTGGCCACTTGCTGTACGAAAATGATGTGACCTTGTGTCTGAGGCAAAATCTGAACCACAGTTCTGACGCTTGGTAGATCCGTCACCTTAGATGCATCACCTAACTTTCTGAATCTCCATTTTACCATTTACAAATGGGTTTAATTTCATAAACTCCTAAAGATTGTTAAGATAATCACTGAGAGAAATACTTAAATGAGAGACTATAACCAAGTGTCTAGCACTTGCCAGGCATTTAATAAATATGTGCAGCTGTGTTTTCAAAAATATTTACATGTAAATATCCTGTAAGATGAGGCAGAGGAGCGAGGTCCACCTGAATCACATGTTACCTCCCTTCTTATACTTTCAGGGGTTGCATATAAAGGTGGAAGGTTTGCAGGGCTTGTTGCTGTGTCTTTCTGACATTTTTCCTCCTGAACTGTCTTTTCTTTCCCCTTCTAGTCTTCCTGTATTACTTTGATAACCCGGGTGGCAGAATTCCGTCCTGGCTCATTAACTGGGTCGCCCAGGTGAGATCCCGGAGGCAGGAAGGGGAAGTGTGTTTGACAAATGTTGACTTAGCCCATGGGGCTGTCAGATGGAAGAGACGTGCTGTCTCAGGCCTAATGAGGCTCTTTTATGAAGCAGCTTGGTTGAGTGACTCCGGTTAGCCCTGGGGTTGCCAACACTCAGGACAGAGGTGGGGACAAAAGACAGAGAATCATTAGCTGGAATGCCAGCCCCTCCTTGCTGGTGCCCCAGACCCCACCAGGATCATTCTCTGGAACCTGCAGATAACAGCCTGCTCCCTGTAGGAACCGTGGCGACTTTAGACCCTCTCTCTGTGTATAGTGTAGTAAGAAAGGCCATTCTGGCTCTGGAGACAACCAGACGTGTCCAAAGCTGGGAGAAGCCCCCAGTTTTGTTACTGTTGTTTTGTTTTGTTTTTGTGTAAGGAGAGGGACCTGCCATGGTAGCTGGGATCATTACAGGCTGTCTAAGAGCCTGGTATCATGGAGACCATTCAGCTTGTTCTGTGTAAGCCCTGCTTCCTGGCTGGAGGGCTGAACAGATTCCCTGGGCAAGTGAAAAAGCACATGTGATTTTGAGCCCTGGCCCTGCTTCTGACTTCTGTATAATACAGAGAAGCCATCAATTTCTTTCTTTTTAGAAAGGGAGATGGATACCTACCCCGTAGAGTAGGAATAAATAAGGTAATATTTGAGGAAAGCCTTACACAATGCTCAACACTATCTCTATAATACATCCTTGCCCCCAAATCCTTACATTTTCTCATTCTGTAAAGCAAGTCGTCTCTTAGTTCTTTGGAACAATCCCACAACCCAACCCAATCCTATTTCCTGTGTTTTTTCTTTTCAAAAATCGATGTCTCAGAAGTATCTTAGCCTTTTATTAGCAAAAGCCAAAAGAGGAGACAGTATCTTGCAACAGTGGCCCATGTTGTCTAGTCTCACCTATGCCCTGGGTCTTACCTTTTGTTACTATCTATGGCAACACTGATGAAATCAGGTCAAGGGCCCTATTTAATGTTCATTGTTCCCAAAGCCATCTTTGCAAAGGCATCCATATCCCAAGGAATCAGGAGTAATTGTTATGAGGACATGGAAGTGACCATCTCCTTTACTTTCAGAGTGGAGTTCCTAACTACTTGAAAAACCTGGCAGAAGCCTGTGAGAAATACCTCGAGAGGACCTAAAGCCATGTCTCCAGAAGTGCCACAGCCCCCCAGGACTTGCCGTCCCTTTCGCTTTTCTGTCTTCAGAGGCCTGCACGCTCTCCAGCATGTTGTTCCCAAGTTAGCCTGACGCCTGGCTTCCTTTCCCACTCTCCCCACCCCGGCCCTGGCTGCCTTCTTCCACTATTGAATATGGGTCAGATTAGGGAAACCTTTGCTTGTTTGTTTTTAAAAAGGGAAGTCCTCACCAGAGAACTCAGTCGTTCCATTGTGCCATTTTAGGGAGATGGGTGGGTGAATGAACGACAATAAAATGTAAGAATGACCAGTCCCGGCAGGCTGGCTCCTTCCCAGAGGTGATGTCTTGCAACCCAGCTGCCAGATACCGCACCCCCTCCAGAGGGGACCCCCAGAGCACCATACCTGGAAGCTGCATGCTGATGCCCATTTGCCTTCTGCTTTGGTGACTTGATTTGTTTGGGATTCCAGGTGACAGTCCAAGAAGTCCTTTCCCATTGCTACATGTGGATGATCACAAGTTGACTTCAAACCATTTGAAAACCATTACAGGCCTAAACACTTAATGTGATAACCACTTCTCAAGTCTGGGTTCTTCTCTTTCCCATATACTTCTGGGGAAAGGTTGTCCATACCTCACCAGCTCTGCCTTTCCTTGGAAACTGAGGCATCAAGATGGCTTGGCTGTCAGCAGAGTCAAGATGCTTTGCACACAGCATTGTGACAAATATCTCTGTATGCAGTAAGATGAATTTCTTTTCTAGAGTGATTGAAGATTTTGAAGAAATAATAGTTCATAGCCAGGGAAATATTAATTGATGGCTTGGTTGACTCTCCACCTGTTTCTCAGGAATTCTACCTAAGTTGTCTACCTCTTTCACCACCAAAAGACTTCCAGTCTGCTACATTTTCTTCTGAATTTTGGCAGGGAAGATACTATGTGGCCAAAGGCACAGCCTTGATGATCTCAGGGAAAAATTTTAACCACTGTGATTGATGGCACTGAACTTTAATTAGCAGGCATAGAAATTTGGGATGCAAAGCCAGAAGTAGAGGATTTATTAAAATGTGATCCCTCAGACTGTATATTTTCTCTCTGGGAAGGACAGTGTGTTGAATACTAAATAAATACAGAGTGATTATACATGTCCTGCTTGCAGCTTTCTTCCTGCTTTGTGTCTTTTGTGAGAATGAATCCTTTAGGTCTCTTTTTTTTTACAGATCACATCCAACCTAACTCATGGACTTGAACATACAAATAATTTTAGGCTTACTTACATGCAAGGCCATGTGTAGAGTGTCCTCACATAGGGGCTGATGCAGGTACTCAAACTGACATTGGAATTCAGCTCTGTTCTTTCTCCAGTTATCTGTGGTGTTTGGTGGCAGGATTGCTGCTAGCAGCAAAAGGTAGGATTGCACCTTCCAGGTTCACACTGAGCCAAAAAGCGACAGCATTTCTTTCCAGTAGGTCCCATGATTCCCTCTAACCAATGTACCTATCCCTGCTCCAGTCATGTGGTCATATGGATAGAATTATGCAAATAAGCAAATACCTCATAAATTTGTCCTTAAACTATCACTATCAGTAGTGTAGCTGGAATTTTTAGATAAATGAAATCTAAATGTCTCAAGGAGATATCAAATTGAAATTTTATGGATAGAGTCATTAAAACATAGCACTAAAATTATAGTCTTTGAGCAGAGAATCAGCATGAATGGTGTCATGCAAACCATATCTATAGACACTGATAATTTGCTAAGAACTCAGAATACTAAGAATACTGTGTTTCTAAGTAAGGTAGTTAGAAAACAAAGTCACGAAGTTTGCTAACATTACTAGAGCCATGGCTTTCTGTATTTATACTTGCTGATTTGGAGAAGAAGATGGTCCTATGCAGAATTGAAATTGGAGGTTCTGTGGGCAACTGAGAACCCTGGAGCCAACTGTAAATGCCAGGGCTTCAAAAAGTGTAGAACTGATGCCTTAGAGGCTATACCTGGCTCTTCAAGCATTCCTCTCCACTGGGGCTGGATGAAGCATTTGCAGTTTGAGAGTTACAAATAATGTCATTGCTCTAGCACTTTGTTTCTCTTATTTTTCCCATGTCTATCTCTCCAAGTAGACAATAAGATTTTTGTGGGTAGAAATAGTCACCTTGCATTGATTATTAGCCCCAAGGATACTATATCGTAGATACTGAGGTGGAAGCTAAATGAATGACTAAATGGTTTAGGGCAGATTGACCAAATGACACATGCTCAAAAGGCTAAACCCATCCAGATATGAAAGTTTAATCTGATTATATTAAACAACAATTTAATATTATTTAAAAATCTAATTCAAGCCAAATTATTTCCTCAAGCCATCATTTTGGGGGGTTCTAGATTCCTCAGGTTCCCATTGATCCTTCCTTGAAAGTTTAAGGTCCTTTCTTTGATAAGGGGCGGCTTTGCTGGTGTAACTTCGGGTTATGGTTTAATGTTACGGAGCTGGAACCGTCTGGACCCAGTCCAGCTGGATTAGTCAGGATTTTAGGATTTTAACGACAGAAGTAGCACTACTGTCAGAGCTAATTTTTTCCCACAGGCGTATTATTCACACTGTTTAACAATGCATCATTATTGACTCCCTTGGAGCTGGAGAGTTCCAGCAGAGGGTCACTTCCCTTGAAAATGTTCCTATTTCACAGTGAAAGTCCTGGCCTGGTTCCATGGATGAGATTCCTCATCCAGAATCCCCATCAGTGATGCCTGCCCTTCAAACCTGCTTTCCATCTGGATTTGAGAAAGACAAAGCAGGAAGAGCCCATTTGTTTACTGTGTTTCTGATATTACCACCCAGTCCGCTCAGAGAATTCTTTTTAAAAACTTTGAGACATGTATTCACTTAACAGGTATTTCTCAAGAGTCTGATGTCCTTCTGTCAAGGGGACGGGCATGGCAGTTCCTGGGATGAATCAGGCTTGGTGTCTGCCTTCAAGGAGCTTATGGTATAGTGCAGAAGACAGTGCAGAAGACTGTGGGAAAGATGATGAGTTTTGAGAAAAGGCAAATAAAAGGTGCTTGAGGCTGGAACATGAGGGCACTAACCAAGTTTGAGGGGTCAGGGAAGAACTTGCTGGAGTTGCTGGTTGAAGATTAGGGAAGAAAATGGTTCCATGTGGAAATAATCATTTGCATAAAACCCCTCACAGAAAAGCCAGTCACATCTGAAAATCACCTGAAGGCCAGTATGGCTGGAGCACTGAAGTGAAGGAGAGGCATCTCATATGTGGCTGAAGAAGTAGGCAGACAGGCTATAGGTGATCCTGAGAGCCATGGCAAGGATTTTGAAGACCACCAATAAGCTTTGAAGGGTTTTACACTGAGGAGTGACCTGATGAGATTTATTCATTCTTAAAGCTGCTCATTTTTCCTCATGGTTCACCATCTCTAAAAGTCCCTCCAACACTGCCATGGGGATACTATCCAAGGTGCTTTACGCCTTGCCACTTGTCACTTGAAGCCTGTCTTCACTATCAGGCAGCATGCAGAGAAGCCCAAACCCAAAGCTAGTTGCCAATGTGGAGAATTACCCTCTGAAGTTAAGCCAGAAAAAAAGAGGGGCAGAGAATATCCTTGCACGTCTTCTCTGTCTCTCCTGGCCCATGCTGATGTACATCATCTCTGACAATAGGATCAGATTATGCAGTCATCAGAGCAAAACCATTTAAAGAGCCAGAAGTGAGAGAAGAAAGGCATAAAATAGGTAAGCAGGTCCACTTTCTCCAAAGTTGCTTTTTCTATGCTCCTCCCCAACTACAAGGAATAATGTATTTTTGCTTGAAAATTCACAAGTGCATTGTTTGTTTAGGTCCTCAGAGTTTAGAACCAACAAGATGGGAGGGCTCCAGAAAAATAGTTTCTATTGCTAGACTATTTATTATTTTTGTATGACTTCCTTGAATACACATAATATGTGCTCCATTTCTTAAGATATAATAGTGGGACTACAGCTAAGCAGCATGCTATGTGAGTGACTATTCAAGTTCTCTGCTTGTTACACCAGGTTTAATGCTAGGCAGTGGAGTTTGTAGAGATGGAATGGATTCTTCCATTAGGGAATTAGTCTACAGAGGACATGGAATATGTGCAGTTTATGATAATGAAAGAATGTGATCACCAGCATATGGAAGGTTTAGGAGTTTGTGGCTAATTGCTATTAAAAAACAGGAAACAGAGCCAAAATAGAGTCACATGCTAAGCCCCGAGTCACCAAACCAAGACTTAATTACAGCTTGGCTTGTTCAGAAATGGACTCTTAAACCAGTCAATCAGGAATTGCCTAATCAACACCAGTTAAATAATCTGCCTGATGACCTCTGCCATCCGCTAAAGGAAAGTAACCTTGCAATAACCAACCCACTTTTTCGTCTAGTGTAACTTTGTGATTGCTACTCCCTTCTACCTATAAAATTTTGTACAGTTCCTTAGAGCACCTTTCTACCTAATAGATTGGATGCTGCTTGATTCCAATCGATTTTGCTCAGATAAACTCTTAAAATTCTTGATATGCTTCAGTTAATCTTTTAACAGCTCTGGTGTCAGAAGAGGCAAGTGGTGAGCCCAGGCAGCCTCCAGGAGCAAGGAGCACCCAAGGCGTAGGTACCCGTTCAAGACTCTTGAGATGGCACCTTTCCACTGCTTCTGGAGGTCCTGGGTAAATCTGTCTGAGGTCCTAGCACTGCAGCTTTTGCTTTTCTAGCTTTCAGACTTAATTTGAGAATGTCTTTCTCTGCCTTGACTCGAAAACCGGACCTGGTTCGGCGTCAGAATGGGTCCGACTTGGAAACCGGAACGGGTCTGGGGTCAGATCGGGTCTGTCTCAGAAACCGGAACAGCTCGGGGTGAGATTGGGTCTGGCTTGGAAACCGGAACGGGTCTGGAGTCCGCCTGGGTGCAGTGTGAGGCCGCAGGTGAAGACAAATTTTGTTTTAAGGCTGAACAAACAGGTTAACCTTATATAAGGTAATCCTGAATTGTCGTGGCCACAGTGGAGAATTTTTAACCTAGATAAGCTTATCCGTTTAATGAGGTGNACAGCTAAGCAGCATGCTATGTGAGTGACTATTCAAGTTCTCTGCTTGTTACACCAGGTTTAATGCTAGGCAGTGGAGTTTGTAGAGATGGAATGGATTCTTCCATTAGGGAATTAGTCTACAGAGGACATGGAATATGTGCAGTTTATGATAATGAAAGAATGTGATCACCAGCATATGGAAGGTTTAGGAGTTTGTGGCTAATTGCTATTAAAAAACAGGAAACAGAGCCAAAATAGAGTCACATGCTAAGCCCCGAGTCACCAAACCAAGACTTAATTACAGCTTGGCTTGTTCAGAAATGGACTCTTAAACCAGTCAATCAGGAATTGCCTAATCAACACCAGTTAAATAATCTGCCTGATGACCTCTGCCATCCGCTAAAGGAAAGTAACCTTGCAATAACCAACCCACTTTTTCGTCTAGTGTAACTTTGTGATTGCTACTCCCTTCTACCTATAAAATTTTGTACAGTTCCTTAGAGCACCTTTCTACCTAATAGATTGGATGCTGCTTGATTCCAATCGATTTTGCTCAGATAAACTCTTAAAATTCTTGATATGCTTCAGTTAATCTTTTAACAGCTCTGGTGTCAGAAGAGGCAAGTGGTGAGCCCAGGCAGCCTCCAGGAGCAAGGAGCACCCAAGGCGTAGGTACCCGTTCAAGACTCTTGAGATGGCACCTTTCCACTGCTTCTGGAGGTCCTGGGTAAATCTGTCTGAGGTCCTAGCACTGCAGCTTTTGCTTTTCTAGCTTTCAGACTTAATTTGAGAATGTCTTTCTCTGCCTTGACTCGAAAACCGGACCTGGTTCGGCGTCAGAATGGGTCCGACTTGGAAACCGGAACGGGTCTGGGGTCAGATCGGGTCTGTCTCAGAAACCGGAACAGCTCGGGGTGAGATTGGGTCTGGCTTGGAAACCGGAACGGGTCTGGAGTCCGCCTGGGTGCAGTGTGAAGCCGCAGGTGAAGACAAATTTTGTTTTAAGGCTGAACAAACAGGTTAACCTTATATAAGGTAATCCTGAATTGTCGTGGCCACAGTGGAGAATTTTTAACCTAGAT